ATAAAGGTGGTGACTGCGATGACTAGATCTGGGGTACCGGCCACACACCTAAGATATAAAGTCTGTGGGACCAAGGCTTGCCCTAACCTAGAGGGTCTTTGTGAGGCCAGGAGCTGAGAATTGACCAACTTAGCAGCCCTCTGCTTCTATTCCATAGACCTGACCTTTTTCTTGTATCCACATGTGGCTTCTCGTCCATCACCCCTCCTGACATGAGAAAGATCAGGGGAGAAATAAGGATCTTTGTTAGGGATATACTAAGGTTGAGATGTCTTCAATATTTAACTGAAAATGTAGAACTAGAGAGGAAGGAAAGGTTGGTAGCTCTTATGACCTGTCAGAAGGGCAAGGCAACAATTCTGCAGTAAAGGACCAGGGCCAAAAGGTGAGTGGTGAGAGGAGAGAGGCCTCAGGGCTTTGAATAACCTGCTGTAATAATGAGCGGAGGAACAAGAAATGCTGATGACAATAATGAGAATAAGCTGCACGACCACCATTACTGGAAACTAATTATGCTCCAGGAACTCAACCAGTCACTTTATATACATTAGCTCAGTCCTTATTACTCTCCTCTGAGGTATATAGAAAAACAAGAAAGGTTATGGAGCTTGACTAAGGACACAAAGTAAGTAGCGCTGCAGAATTTCAGACTCAGGTCCAAATGAAAGAGCTCTGTGATCTTCCATGGTGTCCCGGAAGTATTTCTCCCCTTCTTTGACTTTTATGTGATGATCTCTTGACTTAGAAATATTCCTCTTCTGTGGAAACATTTACTTTCAAGTCTTCTAGTTGAAATGATGACCCTACATGCGCACATGTCTTCAGAACAGAGGTGCTGTGTCTAGTGCTCACTGTGTCAGCGATACTCTCAGCCCCTACTTGTGCTAGATGAGAAGCGGAGGGTGTTTGCTTTCACTGTGCGCTATCTGTGCGTGGCCAAGTTCATATAACAAGCGCATGCTTCAAAACGACCGTGAACTTATTTATGAAAGGGCACTACTTCTACGTACGTTTATTACTCTAGATCCTGCTTATAAATTGTACTATGAAAGGCACTGGTTTGCTCACGGGAGGTGGGTGTGAGCGTGGGTGAGAACAGTTTTCCCCGAGTGTGGGCGCACTGGGATATATAAGATGGTGCTCTTCATACTCAAGTGTCGAGTCTAGAGCAAGTATCGCCCACTGAAGGGGAGAACAGGGTCGAGCTGGATGATGAAGTGAAGAGGCCACGTGTGACAGGTGTAAGCCTGCTCTGCTGTTGCGCCCTGCATTTGCGTTTAATCTCCCACGACCGAGAGAAGACCCTAGAGGACGGACAGTCCTCCCCGCTCCTTTGTACAGGGGTGAGCAGCACTTGATAGGCACCATGTCCCTGACAGAATTCTGAGACTTACAACTGTCAGTCTTACACACTGAGACTTTGTTGTCATTCCACCGTTTGAAGCAAATGTTTCCACCCAGGGAAGAGACTGCTTCAGCCACTAAATTTTCCCAGTGAATGTATGATGGGATGTGATGCTGCTAGAATTTCAGTCATGTCCTTGATAGCCTACAATCAAATTTGATGTGTAAAATGATCAGGTAAAACAGAGAATTCATGATTCCCTTAGAAGTGGTTTTGATTCCTTGTTTACCAGGTATATTTATGAACACTTTGCTGGAATTCAATAGATACACAGGATTAGAAAAGTCTCATTTTTCTTGTCCCATTGAGATATTTTAGAGTAGAAAAGTATTTATCTTCTCCATATGCACTTGCAGGACATGTCATCCAAATTTTCTTTTTGGTTTTTCACCAAGGAAATATATGTAGGTTTTAAACACAAAGGGGAATGAACTAGTAGAGGCTTTACATTAAATAAGGAAATGAGCCATAAGTCCTGCTACCCTACTTTGCCCAGGTGATTGCATTTGCCAGTCTGCATATCTGCCTGCTTATCTTTGTCCCTTCTCAGGCTTATTATGCCATCAAGGCACAATATAATAATAATGTCCTTGAAAAACACTGTAGGGGACAAGGCAAATGAGAGAATTAGGGACAGAGCCCCTAAGAAGGCATCAAAGTTTCCCTTCTCTACCTCTGAGAAAGCCAGCAAGGTCCCTCCCAGCCTCGGTTTCCAGATTAGGCTTTTGATTTCACAAATGAACAGGCTTTGAGCCGTCACTGGAGCATGTGAACGAGATGTGAGGGCGGAGGCGATCCCTGCTGGAGAGCAGGAACCCTGATCATCTCTGAGCTCAAAGAAGAAAGCACACCAGTTCCGTAACACCAAAGTTACATGGGTTCAATGGGCCAATTTGAGATGGGTGAAACATTGTGTTCTACAGCCAGCTATCATACTCTTAACCACTGCTAGAAGTTTTATAAAGCTGATTGAAGGCAGAACATGTCTACTGGGTGATAGAGACTTACTAGTTTGATGCTAACCCAAGCTTCCTGCTGAAACAAACCCAAATTCCAACAGGGCTGATGGCACAAATGCCCTCTGCACACTACTCTGACCTTGACCTCATCCATCCTCTGGGCTGGGCAAGAATATAGTCTATCAAGCCTACAGGCTGTGGCTCAGGGGCCTTCAGATACCATTAAAAAAAAAAACCATCTGTTAGGGTCCTTCTAATTGTGAGACACATAAAAAAATACTTAAACAATGTGTGACTGAGCCACAGTAATAGTTTCCCAAAGGATGGAGTCATTGTGCACCTACAGCAAAATAAAACACACTCAGCCACTCCAAGTCCCAGTCTCAAACTCAAGTGGGAAGAAATAGCTACAGGACCAAAATTACAGAGCAAATAGACTTTGAAGAAGATCCCTATGCTAACATCTGAAATAAAACTTTAAATTTTGAACATTATATGTAAAAGTTCAAATATACACCACAGGAGAGAACGCAGATGCAGTAGAAACTAACCCACGGCCTCCTCACACGCCCCCACTCAGCTCCATCAGCTGCCAGCACGGGACCCTCACTGCTGTGTCCAGTCACTTTCACTTCCCCTAGGTGCCAGCCGTTTTGTCTCTAAACATCAGTAAAACCTTACAATTCTGACTGCTGATAGCATTCATGGAGGTTTGTGCTTCATTTTTCACTGCCTTTTGTTTGGAATAACTGTCAGTGAAAGAGAGGAGACTGGTGTCTACTGAAAGCAAAGACAAGACAATTTAGATTTTCAGATCTGGGTGATTTCTAGTCTTACTTTTCTCCTTCCACCAGCGACGGCAGGAGAGCTGCCACTGTGGAGTCGTCGGTTAAACAAGTACTGACTGAACAGTGGGGCAGATGCTAGACATTAAAGAATGAATAAGACAAAAACCTTTTTTTCTAGAGGGGTGAGGCAGACACTGTGAATGCATTCTGGAACAGGCGGAATTAATGGTCTTCAGCGGATACCGCAGTAACAGGAACAGGGCACTCAGGCCAAAGTAGGTGTTCAAGGAAGGCTTCCGGGACATCCGTGTAAATGCAAAAGTGCTGCTTACACTGACATAGTAATAGGTCAACTACCAAGTTTCCTTCAAACAGATATCCTTCATTTAGTTTTTTAGGGAATTGAGAGGAAAATTTCCTCAAGTAATGTTAGTCTGGGAAGAGACTAGAACAAGAAAAATTCAAAAGACAATCAACCACATATGTCTTGTGGGGAAATAGTGAAGAGATTCGTTCTCTATTCTCAATGAGGAAGGAATCCAAATGAGGAGAAAGTACACATGCATTAGAAAACTTTATTAAATGAATTCAATCAAAATATAGAGTTTAGGAATGGGACAGTGGTAAGAAATGAAACATCTGAATGGGATTGAATATAAATTAACCTAGATGGAAAAAAAGAGGCCAATCAAGCAAAGAATATTAAAAGGAGAGTTTTAAGTGGTCAAGAAGTCGTCTTTGGCTTTAAGAAGTATTTCTTCATTCTGTCCATTTCTGGATAGATTGAAGCAGCAGGGGATGGTCAAGATCTTTTATTTAAACACTGGTTTCCAAAGAGGAATGTATGTGTGTGTGTGTGTGTGTGTGTGTATTTCTGTCTGTGTTGTGTATGTTCTAGTCAGAGTGCCAAGATCTGAAAATGTACAATCTGCTTCAAAGCTATTCCACTGGCATAACACACACACACAAACCTCTACTGGGGGAGGTATCTGATTCTTGGGAAGAAAATAAACACCAAACCCATAAAAATGAAAATCATGAGAAAAACATAAGAACAATCAACACTGTGACTTAAAAGGCAAATAAATGTTTAAACCGTCACTCAGAAATCAATAACCATTTATAATTCTATTTTATATTATCCTATATAGAAATATTTAAACAAAAATAACAGTAGCAGCTAACACTTCTCTTGCATCTACTACGCAGCTGGTTTTATATAATTTTCTTAGCACCAAAGCATGTGAATGTTGAGATTGAAAGGGTCAACTGCTATTAAATTTTGAGGGTTATTTCTTAGCTACTGTATTGCACAGCATCACAATAAATCTAATAAAACACACAAAATAAACTCAAAGCATAGCACACCCAGAAGAAGTCTAGGAACATGGGGAGGAGAGGAAGCCTTGCAAGCACCTGGCGAGACACAGGAGTTTTGCGCCGACATCAGCTCTGGATCAGGCCAGAAGGTACTGAAGCAATGCCTGCAAAATCCTAAAAGACACAGATTTCTGTAGATACAGTCAACCTATTCCTGTAGAAACATCTCACTCTATGCAAAGGCTCAAAAAAGGTATGCATTCTTTTTCATCAATCGATCAGGTCTGTTCACACAAAACATAAGAATGATAAGAAAGAAGAAGACATAGAATTCAAGAAACAAGAAATCCAAAGGTTCTATTTTCCCTGCCATGCAAAAAGTTGTCCTGAGTTTAATGCTCTTAAGGGGAAGTTGATACGAAGGCATTCCACTGATTTTTGAAAAAGTAAATATTTCCTGTGCCTTTAGATTTGCATAGCTATATACTTTTACCAATGTATAAGCATAAAAGAAATTTTAACTCTTACCTGTAATACAGCAGCAAATAAGTATACTACTATGAAGATTACAGTTAAAGATGTGTGCCCACTTTTCATCAGATGAATAGTGTAGAGGAAAATTAAATGTCCAGGAACCACTAAAAGCAGTAGAACTTGAGCAGACTTATTATTTACTCCTGTAATGTAAAATGTAAAAGTTGTTTAAAAATCATATTTTTGGTTAATACACCACAATTATTAAAATTGGAGAACTTTTTTTTAGCTACCATGTTATAGAGCAAAACATAAAATCTAATTGCTAAACATAAATTTCAACTACATTTCACTTAATAATTCTAAATTCTCCCCACTAAATTAAATTAATTAAATGAATAGTGGTTGAAAGAAACAGCTATGAAGTTTTGGCCAGACATTAATAACTATCATAAAAACAGAGGGAATATAAAAGAAATAATATGAAGTTATAAAGTACTGAAATTTTTAACTTTACTTTTCCTTTAAAAACTATTTCGCTGATATTATAAGGCTAAGAATTTCTGATCCTCATGAAAAAATTAGTAATTACATTTAGTTGCATCAGAAAAATTGTCTCTTCGGGCCTCCCTGGTGGCACAATGGGCTAAGTCCCAGCACGATGAATCTACCTGCAGCCACTGTAGCAGCACAAATTCTATCCCCGGCCAGGGAGTCGATACACATGGTGCAGCAGACCTCTCCTGTCGTGCCTGCTGCTCCCCTCCGCCGTGTATTCAGTCAGTCCACCTGTTCTGCTCCCCACTCTGTCTGTGAATCCTCTCACCACTGCCCCGCATCCCCACCTACCTCTGGCCTACACTCTGGGTCTTGTATGCATAAATAAATCAACCATTAAAAAAACAGTCATCTTAGCAAATACCAGATGCTTTCACTCATGGGGAATACAGAGAACAATACAAAGGAATTAGTGAAACTAAACCACAACAAACTCCTGAAATATGGCCGCAGAACTGAGGCTACCAGAGAGGGAACAGATGGGAGAGGGGCCCAGGAGACTAGGGAAAAGGACCAGGGGTGCTTCAATGGTGGGAGAGATGAGGTGACACACAGCTGAGGAGGCGTGGGCCTGTTTCTCTAGATCGTGCACAGGGTCATAAACCAACGTTACTGCAATTAAAAATAAAATTGTGTCTTCATTTTTGGATCACATGCCAAGGTGACATAAGTAACATACTTTCCCTATATTTGTGCTTATTCCCTCTTCTCTGTTTGGGATCAAAGGCCTACAGGGAGAAAGGCAACATGACCACTCTAGTAAAGGACTGGGCATCTGTCTCCCTGAGTCACCACACCAAGCTTTCCTGGTGCATGGGCTTTCTTTTATCTCACGGGAAGCGATAAAAGAGAAAAATTATACAAAGCTCTCAGCAGCTACAGAACTGATACAAATTCTTTTTTGCTGTTCACTGAGATTTAGTAAAAAAAAAAAAACAAAATTCTATTTCACCTCAGAAATAGAAAAGCTGTGTAACACAAATAAAATAAGTACTCAACAAATATCACGCGTCTATACTATGAGAGGATAAGTTCCTGAAATACAATGTGCAAAACTCCTCCAACACCTACCTGGGCCAAAAAAGGTTCTGAAGGGGTAGTAGCAGCCTTTGGGCTCGTCAGGGAGCTCTCCTGGAATGCTGTGTAGATGGAGGTAGGTAGAAATCCTGCTGGCTTGAATGGCCACCAGATTACCGCCAATGCCTGAAACACAAGAAGAAACAAAGTAGTTTTCTTCCTTCTTTAAATTTGCATCAATTTGGCCCTCCCTGATGGCGCAGAGGGTTAAAGCACTGCACTGAGAAGCCAAAGCCACTTCCGCATGAGTTCAATC